TATTGTATTTGTTAACAAAATGCACTACGCTAAAAGCTAGTGTAAAGATCTTTCGAGTGTTTTGAGTTTGAGAGAATGAAAGTTATGAGAGAGATTAGAAAGCTATGAAAACTAATCAACGAAAGAGATCATCATCAAGGGATCGTAGATCTGGTCTCCCGCGGGAGACTATAAAGTGTGATAGAGTAGGTTGCGGTAGTAATCCTACGTATCTCCACGATCCTAAAACGGAACGCGTGGAAGATTTGTCTAGCATGGATCTAGTAGCGTAGAAGTACTCCACGCTGGCTAAATATCTAGAGCGATGTTTCATCATCAACCTAGTATGACTAGAGCGGTCATTGAGAACCCTGTCTCAAATGACTATTCACGAGAGACTCAGTCATGAGTCGAACTCAAACCCTATCTAGGATCGAGTCGCGAATAAGGCTAAGAGCCGTGTATTGCAGAAGGGGTAAATCGCGAGCCTTTGGAGATCGCCAGCCTTTTGCCTTCGGAGATCGAGATAAAGGACTGGGTATTGGTAGACGTCCTCATTGACTTCAACGACCGTGTGGTCTTCCGGAGAAATTAAGGAGACCTCACTGGCTCGGCCTGAACAATGGTAACTGGCATTGAGGAGATGCCAGAACTCCGCAGTTTCGGATGAGCCGTCCCAGATACAAGCCTTAGCTAGGCATTCTTGGTCTGCCCGTGTGCTGGATTCGATGGATTCCACCATGCGTGTATTAGAAGCCCGGCATTGTTCTCGGTACTTTCCTCTTAACTTGAGTATGAGCTTTGACCATTGGCGATCCTGAAAGACAGGAATTGGTGGTTCGTTGCGAAATTTGTCTTCGAAGTAACCCTTCACACCTGATGAGTACTGCTCCGCTGAAGCTTTGGATAAGCGTTTTGAACCAGGTTTTCGACCACGGGTGGCATGGTTTGCCATATAGGTTACGAAAGCACCGATTAGATCTGACCACCATTGGAAGACCGCCTTTTCGTCTTGTTGCGGGGGAATCCCATGCCAGGAGATGGCGGCGGCGGTGACATACTCCACACCTTTCTGCTTACAATAACCCATCAAGAAGTGGTCAAAATGCTTCAAGGCTAGTCTCTCCCTTTTCTCAGCAGATGCAAGCTTATCGTCTCGGGCATCAGTATAGACAACATCAACTTCAGCCATCTTGGATCAGAGAAGTGTGGGTGGATGCGATGGAGACAATCGAAGAGAAGAAAAAGTGCTGTGCAGCTTACGCTGATCATGGAGTAATCCCGAGTTGAAAGTAGTACAGTAACCGGTGTTGGAGGATATATTCCCCATACCTCAAATTAACATTGACTCGTGTAATAAATCTAGTCCGGTTCGCATGCATATTCATGATGCAGGAACCAAGGCAGTTTTAGGTCTAAAGTGTTGCGGGGTCCTTATATCCAATTCAATCACAAGAATTGATATGCACCACCAGTAAATCCTCACTTTTGCTTTTCAGCTTAACCAAAAACCAAATTACCCCTCAATAAGCTGCAGTGCTAGCCTTTTAGCTAGACAAACAACACTGAAAAGCAAAAGTCTCATCTCGAGTTCGAAGATCAACCGTCTCGATATTGATATCAACAAGTTGACCTAAGAGTATCAAGTAAAGTCACAGTGAGTTAACACTTGCAACAGAGAAAAGGTGCGCAGAATAGCTCTATAGCCACACTATCGGTATAGGCATACACCTCTAACAGGAGAATACGACATTTAGTCGCGCGACTAAGATCTCATTGTCGAATACGAACGTTCATTCAACAGTTTCTGGCCGGAACTGGAAGGATCTACGTATACCAACTGACAGAGAAGAACAAACTACACGGATCTCAATGCGGAAGCAAGGAAATCCGGCTGTTATTCATCGAGTTGAAGTGTGATTACGTCATCGGGCGTTGTTCGGATCAATCGCGACGAGCAAAAGGCGACAGTCGCCATTCAAGCTACTGATCGATCTGAAGGTTGCAAGCTAAGAGACCAATATAGAGGAAGTTGCGGCACACGACAAGGATACTCTGAGTATCAGTGCAAGCTTCTAGCTCCAAGAATTGAGCGAGATAGGTCTAATCGTGTCAACAGCGCTTGTGAGCTTTGACACCCACAATCCCGGTAACGCTCACAACCACTCGAAGAGCCAAATCTTCAATGTGTGACCATTTCAACCTGTAATACTCACGCAGTGTTTTCATCTAATAAGCATAATCAAGTCATCTGCAAGCGCAGAAGACCATCGGATCGGAGTTCGCTATTCGAGAACCGACAGCACGAAGAAGCATCCTACGGGAGCAACACCACTTTTTCACGGGAAGCCGAAGCACCGCGGAGCTTCCCTTCTGAATCTGTCAATACAAGAACAAACAACACTAATAGCAACAAAGACAACAAACTGGACACCTCTATACCATTACACTACCTATTAGCACCATCAGAAGCATTGAAACGAAGCGAAAGGACCTCAGGAAGCCTGTTTTCTGTTATCTTGTTGAAGAGTACTGTTTTACTATAGGAATCCACTCAACGTTATCACGGAAAACACACATCCTTTTCCCTCTCTTTATCTCTCATTCAAGCCGAAAGGATCGATAGATACGTCCTCTCCTATTCATCGCACCTCTCCTATCAAGCCATCATCAGCGCGGCACTCTCCGGTTCAGATTAGAAAGCCATCCCCATTGAAATCCTCAGAGATCGGGCGGGTTTTCGCTTCTCGGCCGCCGCCGACCAAGTTAGACGAAATTGACCACAAGAAGAAGTCCCCGGTCTTCAGTCGACTCAGAAGTGCAAGGTTCCTCCATACTCTGCAGTGACCCAACATTTCTCTTCCTACCGACGGCCCAAGAAATCCCATTGTCAATCCTTTTTTCGTACGATCGAATCTTCCGCAACAATAACAGGCCCGTTACCCTTACCCCTGAGGCAACTGACTCATCCAAATCTCAAATCGAATCGAATCTCTGTTTCGAATTGATCCAAGACTCGCTACTCTGTGAATCGATCAAATCTTCCCGCGACCGATCATATTCGGAGGAGGTACGGAGGAATGACAGCCTCTATTATCATCAAGCAGGACTTCACAAGATACCTGCAGTGACCGCCGAGAACAGAAACACAGCCGTATTTCTTACTTTCTCACCGGCCACTCTGGGTTTCTCCCGACGTCCTTGTTGGACCTTGATCCCACTGATCTAACCAGTCCTATCCGTATACAGACTGATTGACTGATCCCTTGCTACCATTACCACTCCTCCATTGATATCTAACTCCTCTCCAAGAGGAACAACAAACAACAACAGAGTTCCTGTAAGGAATCGAGTTTCAGGCTGACAACCTGACCTTCAGAACGTGTGCGTGTATTACACTGAAGCCAGACCTGATCCACTCGAACAATCGGTACTCGCTCGTTTTACGTCGGATTGACTTGCTTCCAGCGGCAAACTGAACCGGCTAGGTGTGCTCTCGATGTTGATATGCTTGGTTTGTGATAATTCCATGTAGGTGTGGAGATTTGCTCTGTCGGTGGCGTTATGAGACTGTGCGCGATTTTTTTTTCTTTTCGAAACTTGATTGTCAGTCCTGATGGCTAGCCTTTATAGTGAGGCTACAGCGCACCTCTGTTCAATACTTGGGTGGGGTTTGTTCTTTCCTGTTTTTTCAGTTCTTTTGCACTATTACAATACCTATTCTTGTGCTGACTTGATCTCTTTGGGACTTCTGCCCCTGTCAGACTGTTGTTCTTGGCCTTTCATTGAGGCTAGCTGCACACCTCAAGGGTGGCACTGCACAGTAGGCTCTTTCTCACTCCTTTCTCAGTAATACAATAGAAAACTTATCTTCACAATCCCATGGGATGATATCAAAAGAGAAAGCTTTTTCTTCCCAGTGTTGGGTGAAAACACTGTAGCTACTATTCTTATCAGGGTTATCTAGCTGATTCGGGCGAGCTGGGAAGAAAAAGTGATCTTCCAGCTTGGGGGAGGTTGAATCTGGATTTTGGAATGCCAGATTCCCTTAAATTCTTGCGAAGGTGCGGTCTTTCTACTTCTCCGGGTACGCTAACGCTAAATTTCTAAACCGGATAAATCTTGACCGTCCAACATCCTCAGCTTTCCACGCCAACCGGTACTCCCACGCTCCACGATCTGGTGCCCTCCACCTGCCACAACACAGAAACGCAACAAGAAACCTTGATGGCCGCGAGATCTAGAGTGGCCTGGCAATGGACCTGGCTTGGAGTGGGTCCTGGTGTGGGATCAGGAGTGGAGCTTGGAGCTGGACCAGGTCCTGATTTTGGCCTGGTGAAGGTCCTGGAATGGGGCCTGGTGTGAGTCCTGGGGTTGTGATCAGGAGTGAATCCAGGTGCGTAATCGGCCAGAATTCCAGAATTGAGGGGCCAGGTGGGGGCCGGAAGTAGGACCAGAACTTGTGGAGGTGTAGGACGAGGCATTGTGCCAGGAGGGGGTCAGATGTAGGACCAGGACTGAGGATCCAGGCGCAGCAGAAATCTGTTGGTTAACTTGCCTCCGATTTTGACAAGGTTGATGCATTTTCTAACTTTGTTCTTCCACAAACTGGCCTCTAAAGATGAAGGCAGTGGCAATGTTGTTTTCAATTGACCTCTAAAGATGAAGACAATGGCAATGTTGCAAGTACAGCTGACTGGTGGGGCACCATGCACGGCATAATCTTTTTGTGCTGACCATGCTCACGGTGGTTTGAAACGAGACAAGAAGTACCCACTAGCTACCGCCATGTTTCTCTCGGTGCTCCGGTTTCCGGGTGTGTGCTGAACCTGCAAGCAATGTGAAGGGCGCCGCCATATAGCAGTTACCCCCCAAAGGGAAAGATTGCAGCTACTTGTAAACGGCATTAAACAAGATAACTGATCACTTTATACAGTTGTGACATTTCAAAATTCCTAACTTTCAAGTTACTTTCCTTTGTGCATCATTCTTTTCGCAGCTCATAAGCGCTTGAGAGTGTGCTATTGACTGCATTGCTTCTTGCCAGTGGCCACAAAGATGGAGACGTTGGGATTCTTGTTGCGGCTGACTGGGGCACGGTGCTCAACATGCTCGAAGAGCTTGCCCATGGCTCCTTCGAATGTTGCAATGATCTCAGCCAAGCGATTGTTGACAGCCAGGTAGACCAGTGTCTTTTCATGGCACAGATCAGAAATGGTCTTGGCCAGCTTGATGGGGTCATAGATTCCTGCCACTACATCTGCACCAAGAATGACATCGTAGTTTCCAGTCACGTTAGTACCCCAAGCCAAGGGGAAGGCAGTGGCTTGAAGGCGCCCACCAGCACTGGATTGATTTCGTTCCAGATTCCTCTGTAGGAGCGGCATAAGGGATGGCAAATCCGTCAAGGACATGTGCACAGATTCTGGCATGCCAGAAGCCACCATGAGACCTGTGATACCAGTGCCTGCTCCCAACTCTACCATTCGAACAGGTTTGCCGTGTTTTCCGTGCTGGAGCTGCTTCCACTCGTCTTGCTCATGGATGACATGCTCTGCTAAAATGTAACCAGCATCCCAGACGAAACCTCCCTTGGTCTTCAAGGAACGGTCTTGTTCAATCATGAGTGGGAGTTCCTGGAAGCCTGCTTCTTCCTTCTTTTCTTCTTGAGGCGAGTTTTCTTTGTTGTTCATATTGTCGTCGCTGTTGATGTAGCCAAAGTCAATGAACTTGTAGTTCACGTGCTTGTAGTCGTCGTAGTATTGCTGGCCAGCATTGAGGTATTGAGATTCGTAGTGGAGCGTATCGCAGTCCACAGTCGATTGGTCAACAGCCGCCTCTTGTTGACGCTCCGCTTCGTCTTGGGCTTCCAATTCACGAAGCTTTCGTAAATAGGCGCCTCGGTTGAACATGGCTTCAGCAGCGTCGTACTCCACCGTTGAGCACATCTCCATCGCGGTCGTCATTGTCTCGGTTGGTAGGCGGGTGGCGTTGCTTGTGAATGTGGTGCGCTTGGGTCCTTTGGTTTTGGTTTTGGCTTGATGTGTGATAATGAGACCAACTGGTTGTGCTGATGTTGGTTTGCTTCCGCGCATGTATTGGCTTCCGCACTTGTATTTGCTTTCTGGTCTTAGACGATTGAAGGTTGCGTGAAACATCATCGGCAGTTTGCGTGGTGGTGGTTGGGAAACCACGAAAGCGTTCCTCAAGACCAGACCAGCAGGAACCGAATGGAAAGTTCCAATGCCATGCCAGTTGTAAGGGGAAAACAGTGTAACCGGGATTACTTTTGTTCGCGCCACGTTTGCCTCTAGTTCTAGAACATTCTATTTTTCTTCCTGGTGACGATGCCCAACCCACGTCGCGTCACAGAAAGACCACACTGCAAGCTCCTGTGGCCCCGAATGCTCCGCCTGGCGCCAGCTCTGGCACCACACCCGAAACCTCGAAAGGGCAAATGCCGAGGATGTACAGACAGTGCAGCGACCAATCTAGACAGTAGTCTAGCTAGCTACTGTACGCAGACTATAGTTTCGCTCAGCATCAGCTACAGTACCTAGCCGATCAGAAATTCAAAGCTACCTATCAGAAATTCAAAGCGACGCCCAGAACTCATCCTTCGAAAGGCTACTGGCTTGAAGGACGCTCAAAAACTTGGCATTGGCCCGGATGCTCTCGGTCAACTGCGAGATTCGTCGACTGGACGATGGAAATGGATTCTCCTTGAAAAAGTTGTCAATTTCATCCGCCATTTCCATTGAACAAAATGATCCTGCACACATGACAATACAGGCATTCATGAGGCTGGGACTGGCCGCGCCGAGCATGGTCTTGATGGTATCGAGATTGTCCTTGTAGTACTTCCAACTGATATCACGCCCTTCCTTGCCACTGCGACCAACAGATCCCATCAAATAAAAGAAGTCTTGGATCTTTACAACAAACACGCGAGAGAGACAGAATTTTGGCAGTTGCCGGTCAGTCATCGATGCACCAAAACAGAAACTTCCATTGCACAGAGTACTTACCTTGATTTCGCCTGACGTGGACCACTCCATGCAAGCCATCTTGAGCTTTGCGTCTGGGGCGCTGCCTAGTGTATTGAGAACGTGTTTTTTCTCGGCGTTGTCGTCTGCAGCTGCATAGTATGCCTTGACCGCATTGTACTCCGCCTCCCCGCCGTTCTTCAAAACAATCTTGAAGACAGTGCCACGAATATCCGAAGGCAAACTCTTAGTGTCGTGGTGGTCTTCTTGAAACGCTTTGAATCGCTTCATTGCCTCAGAGGAAATCGCTGGATCGTCGTAGCTGAAGCGACCCAGCACAGCCACAATGATGGAACGAAGCAATGATGTTTGATGTTTGTCATCGGGACTGAACTGCCATCCAACCTTGGCAGCAATCTTTGTGAGAAGCTTTTTGGCGAACTTTTGGAAGTTGGCATTCATTGTCTCATCTGCCGACAGCACTGCATCCAACCCAACCAAGGCACTTGTGACAGCGTCCCAAGCAACAAGCGAATCTTCATCCTCGTAGTTGGCAAGCAGTTTGATGAGTTCCTGTGGCTCCATGTGGCCAGCCTTAACGAGAGCATACGAGTCATTCACTAGGCCGGCTCTGTCACAAGCGCAAAGCGCCTTGCTCTTGACTCCCTCCGATAAACGAGTCAGCATCTCCGCCGTGGAGAGGACTCGCATGGGTACCTCGTGGTTGGCATTGAGTTTGACCCAGCCTCCCTTTTCAATAGGAATGGTGATTGTTGCAGTCTTCTCTCGCATGTACACAATATCTTCCTGTGTTCCTTGCGCCGTACAGGTGATGACTGGCACGGTCCATTTTTTCTCCTTTTCCTCAGCAGTAAGCTCGCTGCCGTCACTCAAGAACCACTCCTGTTCCAACTCCAGCGTCACTTTGTCATCTTCCCAAGTTTCCTTTGTGACCTTGAGGATGGGAAATCCCATCTGTTCCGTCCAACTAGCCATCAGTTCTCGGACAGGCAAACCACTGTTTAACGCATGCCGCCACAACACAACATGATTGAGCACACACCAGCAACCGGGCAAGAGAAGAGACAACCAAACAAACACACATACCTGCTGTCTTCCCATGCTTGCCACAAGTCGATTGTTTCCGTGTTGGAGTACGCATGCTTTTTCATGTACGCCTGGAGACCTGACTGAAAGTTTTTCATCCCCAAGACAGCCTTGATCATTCGAATGACAGAGGCGCCCTTGCTGTAACTAATGGCATCAAAGACTTGCTCGACTTCTTCCGCGTGTGCAATGGGAACTTGGATCGGATGAGATGATTTCAACGAATCCAACCGCAGGGCACCGGCTAGATGATCGGTCGTAAAGTTTTCCCAGACACCTGTGCGCGTAGTATTGACGATTCGAGCGAGAGATGGCAGGAACGCATGTTAGTTACCAAACATCAGGAATTGTAGTAACGAACCAGCATTATGGTAGATGGTAGCAACACGTACCCCAATCCGGGAAGATCTTGTCACTGGCATAGCATTCGGTCCAACTAGCGAATCCTTCATTCAACCACAAGTCGTCCCACCACGCCATGGTGACCAAGTTTCCAAACCACTGATGGGCGAGCTCGTGATTGACAACGGTAGCCACACGACTCTTTTGCGCTGAGGAAGCTTTGACAGGGTCAATCAACAAGTCCACTTCGCGATAGGTCTGTGTGTTGACAGTCAGTCGAAAGAAATGCAAGGTTTTGTTGTTCATGAGGAAACTAAAAAGCGGGGGGGGGGGGGAGTCTGATTCAATTGATTCAAAAACAAAAACGTACCACAAGACCCCAGTTTTCCATAGCTCCCATGGCGAATTCTGGGATGGCCACCATATCCAATTTGGGTAATGGATAGTGACATCCGAAAAATGCATCGTAATGATCGAGACACTTGGTGGCGCAATCCAATGCAAATGTCCCGGATGTACTTTTACCTGGCGGAGTGTAGACCTTGACTAGAACCCCATTTTGTGTTTGTGCTTGGACACAATCAAATTCTCCGACACAAAATGCCAGCAAGTAGGTTGACATTTTGGGTGTATCCAAAAAGGCCACTTGTTTTTTGTCTTTGGACAAAGTAATGGACTCTTTTTCGGGCATATTGGAAAACACGTGCAAGGCGGAATCGACCACGGCCGTGAATCCAAAGACAGCCTTGCGAGCCGGTTCATCAAAACAAGGGAAACAACGTCTCGCATCGAGTGCTTCAAACTGCGTGGAAGCCATGAATTTTTGATTCCCTTCGATATCGGTGTACTTGCTGCGATAAAAGCCGGCCATTTGGTTATTGAGAAAGCCGGTAAATTGAATGCTCAAAGTCAACGTCGACGCATCGGCAGGGATTTCTTCGGGAAAGCAAAAGGTGACCGTGGTAGCTTTGAGGTTGACACGGAATTCTTCGGCCGTCACAGGCGCGTTGTCTCCGACTTTGTAAGAGGCAGTGATATAGCAGAGTTCCTTGGAATGCAGAGTGATTTGTTTCTTCAAATCATCCACCAAGGCGTCCTTTTGGACTGACATTTCAATCGACAAGTCGCCATCAAACGTAAAAGTGGAGAGATTGGGAGAGACCTTGAGGTCGTACCTATTAATAGTACATGTAGAACAGGCAAACAAATGGACAGTGAGCTGGGCACATGCACGAAAAAGGACCTACCAGTATACCCAACCAACCATTCATCCACAGTTACTAACAATGACTTACCGCACAGGCAACACATTGGTGGGCAATAAGACGCGACCCTTGGCCTTGCTTTCTTTGCTGGTTTCAGCTGTCATCTTGGTCGTTACCGTACTACTACGCTTCTATCAATGTGGTTGGGATAACAACAATAATGTCTAGCTAGCTAGCTACTAGTAGACGTCTTGACCCTGCACTTGCAGCGAAATGATTGCTTGGTTCGAGACGTTGGCCGTGGGCTGGAAAGAAGATCCACGATCTTTAATAACAAACCCGCAGAGCTGCTTTATTTTAGTTTTGATGGCATGAGGGCAAGTCTTCCTCCTCTGGTTTCTCTGATCTAGCCAATTGTTATGGAACAGATCATCCACGCAGTGAGCGCAGTGACGATCGAATTTCTTGGGGCAACGTGAGCACGACGAGTTGCGAGCAACGTCGAGAAACCAATACGTACAGGTACCGTAGCAGAAAACAAAGATGGCCCATCACCCGTCTGCATAGCAAGCAATCACCATTAGCTTTTGGAGCCCTTACCTATTCAGGCTTCTCGATTGGAATTGCACACACTTGCAGTTAGACTAGTCTACGAATCCAGATTAGATTTCTTTTCGTCTCGATCGACGATTTCTCACTCTTTTGCAGAGGTCAGGAAAGGGAACAGAGCAATCCAAGATTCGGTGTCTCGTCATTTGGAAGAATCTATAAACCATGAAGCTCTTATTGGTGAACCGAAAACAAAGTCGAGCTAGACCTTGGCAATGTCAAACCATCGTTCTGGTATTGGTGCTGTTGGCCCTCTCCCACTTTTCCACTAGCGCTAGGGCGGATGATAATACGGAAGAGAAGGAAACCACATCCACTACTGGAAGTAAGGGACCTTTCAAGCCCATGGCTCTCCAAGATGCCGTCAAGAAAACATTGCACCAAGATGCTCAGGCCGCCCGGGAAAAGTACTGGCAGAAAACCCTAGAAGAAATCAGATCCCTCAAGTCTCCAAAACCAAAAAAAACAAAGACAGATAGAGCCGTCACAGTCAACAATCTGAATCGTTGGAAACTATGGTCTACTACTACTACTAGTAGACCCAGCAGTCTTGCCTCGAGCACGGATGCAGCAGTCAGTGGTACTATTGGCCAAGAAACAACAACACAACAACCTGAAAAGGCAACACCACAAGATCAGAAATCACCAGACATTATACTCCAGGAGCCAGAACGGTACAATGGATACTTTTCCTGGGAACGACAGCTTCAGGAATGGGCGGATGATATCCAAGAATATATGGACAAAGTGGGAGCGGAAGGCAAAGGACAATATCCCATGTCAACGTTTGGAATACCCAAGGAAAGTGATAATCTCAAAGGAGATGGTTCCAAGGAAGCGAATGACAATTCTGCCACTACTCAAGTCGCTGACTCTGCCAGCAGTGCCATCGATATTGGCATGGTGGAAAAGGAAGAAAAGGCGGACACGATAGTACCTTCTGCTGCTGCAGCTACTGAAGTTGTTGCCGAACCAACCAATTCCTCCCCCACAAAAACTACTGCTACCAGCGACAAGAACAACAACCTACAAAACAAAGTACCACGTCCCGTTCCCGCATCTCGCAAAGAGGGTGAAGCCGTGTTGCCCCACACGGATATTTCGGACAAATCCAAACGCGTGTGGATTGTCACAACGGCTGCCTTGCCATGGATGACGGGAACCGCCGTAAACCCACTGCTCCGAGCTGCCTACATGACCGAGGGACGCAAGGAAGCTGGTGGAAGTGTCACACTCTTGTTGCCGTGGTTGGAACGACAAGAAGATCAAGACATGGTCTATGGACAGGGCAAATCGTTTTCGACACCCGAGGACCAAGAAGCGCACATTCGAGGGTGGCTCAAGAACACTGCCAAGATGGAAGACGCCAGTGAAGTATTGGACATTCGATGGTACACGGCATGGCAAAACAAGGCAGAAAACTCGGTATACAGTATGGGGGATATTGTGGCCGACATTTCCGAAGATGAAGTTGACATTATGGTGCTGGAAGAACCAGAACATTTGAATTGGTAGGTGCCGTGTAACACGAAAGTTGAGAGGTAAAGGCATGTGGTTCTTTGCATTGCAATGCGATACAAACTTACGACGCGTCAAACTTACTTACTTGACTGGTAACAGGTACCGGGCCCCTGGAGAAGCCTGGACTAGAAAATTCAAGCATGTGGTTGGCATCGTTCACACAAACTACTTTGTTTATGCGCAAGACCAACCCGCAGCGTTCCTTCGAGTGAGTATTGTACAAAGCTTTCCTTCCTCGCGACAAAACATGTACTTGATCGGTTGATGAACCTAACTAACACTTGTTTCAACCTATAGGCTCCTGGAATGAAACTTCTTTGCACTTGGATGTGCCGTTCTCATTGCCATCGACTGATCAAACTGTCTGGGACACTCCCTGTGTATGCCCCTGAGAAGGAACTGATTGAAAATGTTCATGGTGTCCGGGGAAGGTTTGTGGAAATTGGGAGAGAGTTGCGACAAACGTTGCTGTCACCGGAGGCAGCGGCTGCTGATCCCGTGTTCTCCCCGAATGCGGAACCAGCTGTCTACTTCATCGGCAAAATGCTATGGTCCAAAGGTATTGGTCCCTTGATGGAACTTTTGAAGTATGCCGAGGAAGCAGCCAACATTAAGCCGAAGAACGTTGATATGTATGGCGGCGGTCCTGATAAAGATGCTGCAGAGGAAAAAGCCAAAACGATGGGTTTGGATATGACGTTCCATGGTCCTATTGACCATGCGGCACTAGCAACTTCTCACAAGGTATGCCGTGGGTGCAAAGTCTGTGGATTTAGGTTTTGTAGAAGTACAAGCTTCCTCACCCCTCGTCTCCCTCATTAAGGTATTCATCAATCCATCCACCTCAGAAGTGCTGTGCACGACAGTGGCTGAAGCGTTGGCAATGGGAAAATTTGTGGTGCTGCCTTCACATCCCTCCAATGATTTCTTCGCTCAATTTCCCAATTGCCTGACCTACACCAGCAAGGAAGAGTTCGTGGGGGTTCTGTATTACGCTCTAACGCACAGTCCCGAGCCCATGTCGGAAGAATATTCCTATGCTTTGACCTGGGAAGCGGCAACCGAACGGTTTGAAGCTGCCGGTTGCATTCCTGTTGAGGAAGCCGAGAACTACAAGAGATGGGTTGCATCAGGCGACGCCGGAATTGACGTACGTCTTGCTGCCGGCTTCGCTTCGTTATGCCTTCTTTGCTCTAACCACCAATCTTCATTGTTGGACTCTATAGATTTCCCTCCCTCCGCTGATCGAGAGTGAAGAGGACAGAAAGCTGGTCGCCACAACGCTTGAAAAGTCGCGTTCCAACTTCCGAAAGTTCCGCGATAATCTTTCTCGGGAAATCAGTGTGAACAAAGGTACGAGGTCGAGGCTGTCACCGGCAATCGACAATGCAGCTCGGGTGTCTGGAATAACCAAGATGTTCGCTTTCTTGCTTCGTTCGTAGTGCTACCAAAGGCTGTGCGAGAGAGTGTTGTAAAGGAGCTTAACCGCCGCCTTGATTTGAATATCGATGAACTCTTGAACTCACCCAAGCTGGAACTGAAGCTATCTCCAGCTGAGCTTGATCAGCAATGCCTTGAGCTATTCGAATCTGTAAGCAAGGGTCCCAGCGGTGATGTCCTGCGCATTATTGGTGGTGGAAATGATGTTGCCCTTCAACACAGATATATGAAGCGGCAGGCGATTAAGCAACTGAAAGCCGCCAACGCCATGAATTCAACTGTTCCTTTCTTTGTGGGTGGCTCTGTTGAGAGCACCGACGAAAACTCCAGGACAGCTTCGCAGTGGGTTAGGTGGGCGATGAGAAGGAATTTGCCGACGAATGGAACGATGTCCGTATTACCGAGTCAACCGCAAAAACCTTCTGGAAGTTCCACCGCCGCGAAAGCACCGGCCCAAAAAGAGACAGAGAACAATTTGCAAATGAGTATTCTTCAACCAAGCCCGTCAACATGTGGGTATGGGTCGCTGTCATCGAGCAGGGGCAGCTCCTGGACCGGAATGGCGGTGCCGCCTCCATCCCGATTGTTATCCAATGCAAGAAAGCTTTCTGCCAACCGCGGCAGAAAAGGGTTATCGCTATTGATTTAGAATGGAGCCAAGCCATCGAGACTTGCACTGTACTGCTAACAAACGAATCATACATGGCTACGTTCCTTGCTTTTCAATTGAACACTTGTAACGTCTACAAAGTAAAGAAATCTTTAGAAATAGAAAGCTACAGCACAGCAGTCGAGTTGGAAATCGTAGCACCAAACTGACTGTATTCATCTCCATGAGAGTCACCAAAATGGCGTACCGGCATCACTGGAGATACCACCCTTCAGTTTCTCTGCATACTGCGTCCCTCTCGGAGGAGGTTTCCAGGGTTGGAGGCGTCACTGCCGGAAATTGGCCAATCATCGTGCCTCCCTAGCCTCGGCTCTTTCCACCGCCGAAGTGGATACTTTGATCGTCTCTTAGCGAGTCGATCCAAGAGTGCTTTACAGCCTGAATGTATCTTGTCTTCCTTATTGCAAGCCGTACCCGCATTGTAAGCCAACACAGTGTCAACAAGACCATACTTGGCCTGTTTAGTTGGCAGGGTATCTGGGTTGTTCATGTCTCCACGGTCCGAACCATCCATCAGTTGTGGGCCAACGCGAATTGTGCCGTCATAATCCAAGACGTCAATGTAGAATGCATTGGGAAAGGCTGAGGGAACTCCATGACTTTTTGCATCCTTGGAACTGTGATGGTAAGCTACTTCAATGGCAATCTGGTTGTAAAACGAGGCTAGCTGCGAGATATCAAACAGATTCTGTGGGCACCAGTGATCGATCCCAGGAATCTTGATATGCGAGGAGCAGGAATGAAACAGATTCGATTCAAGAGGGGCTGCCTGTGTCTGTTCCTCTAACATGGTGGACTCTTTCACCATTGACTGAGGTAGCCGAAGGTGCTTGTTGTTGTGTAGCTTCATGTCGCCCTTCAGCCAGTGTAAGAACTGATGCTTGGCTGCGCTGATAACTTGCCACGACGGACTTGCTGTGTTCATGGCTAGAAGAGTAAAGCCATGCTGATCATTGATACGGGCATTGTTGATGCTAGCGTTCCTAAAGTAATCCAAGTGCTGTTGTAGCACGTTTGCTTCTTCAAAAACTCCATCACCTCCGTCAAACGAATTCTGGATCTGAGCTGCATCCATTGCCAAAGGAGAGGATTGAGCGAACTCTTGGTAGTCCGACGCAAAAGTGACGAGACGGTGGTTCCTTCCTATCAACTCTGCCACTGGTGTTTCAAAGATGGATGTTTCATTGGTGGCTTGCATCAGCCCACTGAAAATGGAGGTGTACTTGTTCCAAAATTGCTCCTTTTGACCGGGAGAGACACCAGGATACTGGTCCTGACCCGTAGCAGAAGTGCTCCCATGCTTGGACAACCAAATCACCAGGACCTCCTGGGGATGCTCATCCAACCACTTTCGGATCTGCCGTAGATACTCTTCGGCGGGGTGCTTGGATTGCATAAAGTGAATGGAATACCATGCCTTCTTGTCCGGTTCCCACATGATTCGAAAGTCCAGGAACCGCACACCATTATCTAGTTGCTGCGTGACTGTCAATTGTTGCGTTTTGGCTTGCATACGAAAGAATTCTTCCAATTCTCCTGGTAGAATCTTGATCTTACCACCTGAGAGGGTATGCAAGAGTTTGGCCAACTCTTGCAAACCATCCATGCCATCCTCGGAAACGGTCAAGGACAAATCAAACGTCAAGGAATCATGCGTTCCCGGCAAGGATAAGTCGGTCAATCGAACATGATCGAGTAGTCCTGCCTGATGGAATTCCTGCATCCAGTTTGGTAGGAGTTCCGGTGGTTTATCGGGATACGGAACGGGGCCCAACGGACAGTCGAATTGATAGGAGACTTCCATAGATTGATTGTTGTTCCGACGATCGATGCAATACTGTTCCGGTTGTTTGGAAGGCGAGTGACAGGTGGAAGATATGCTACACCAGTGACATGTGGGACGTGATTCTACAGTGGATGCATCAGTGGCTTGAGAATACTGATAGCGAGAAAATGTGCAAGAGCCACCTTGGAACGACAGCAAGCAAGCAGCCATATGACAAGGCAAAGTCAGATGGATAATAATATGATGAGAGTGGGAACCGTTCAAGCTCCAGACTTACAATTTCTGTAAGAACGGCAGGGGTCATCGTCCTCGTCACTAGCCTTGTAAGCTGCCGGAGTCTCTGCACTTTGGTCGTGGAGGCCATTGTCGTCTACCTCTGTTCTGGATGTTCCATCTTGCTCAGCTGCAGATGATCGAACCCACAAAGTAAGCTGGATCACAATCAACAGCAAGACCCAGGCACCAAAATTCTGTGACTTGTTTGGCATCTTCGCTGCTCATTTAAAAAATGGAAGTTTGTTCTCTCTGACGGATCCTGACTCGACTCCAGCAAGAAAATTGAATTGGCTTTGATGGGACGGCTCAACACCAACTGCGCTTGTTGTTGCAGCGAGATGAAGGCAAGAGGCTCTCTCACTCTTTGACAGCCCTAACAACCCATCATACTGGACCCGAATTTACTCCTTGATGTTCGAACAGGCGAGACGGCTTTGCTCTGGAACACCCACGATAAAGAAGGATTCAAACAAAATGACCGTCTCTTTAGCCTTTAAGTCATATAGCCTAACTGCTTAATCGTGAATGTCGGTAGAATGTCGGAATTCTGAACCGGATGTCGGGAAAATGTCGGCGTTTGTACGAGAATGTCTGAACTTGTCGGAAAATGTCTGCAGAATGTCGGAAGGTTTCTCAGACATTTAAGCGAGGTTTTTCCGACATTTAAAACGGATGACTTTCGCTGGTTAACTCGTGTTCTTCACTGGTTCCTACTTTCTTTCTGATAGAACCCTACGATTCGGAATGATTTAAGTAACTCAACGGCTGTTCTTAAATCATTCAACGTCATCTAATCGTCAATGTCGGAAAAGCATCGCCGAAATGTCTGCATAATGTCGGAAAATGTCGGAAAATGTCGGCGTTTGTATGAGAATGTTTGCACTTGTCGGAAAATGTCTGCAATGTCGGCACTTTGTCGGAATTTGTGGGGAAACTTTCTTCTGTCATTTAGGCCATATGATTTAAGCGCTAAGCAGTCTTATATCTTTCAAAATGACTTTATCGTGGGTGTTCCTGCCGTATGGTCTCGCTTCCGAATACCGTACCAGGAGTATCAACAACACCTGTCAAAAGCAACGTCAGTGACAAGCAAAAATTGGAAAAGTGTGGCCGTTGGATATTGTTGCCGCTTTGCTGGCTTTTTGGAAATGCTCCAAAGGAGAGGTGTTTCTACCGGTACATGAGGGAATAGACTACAGAAGCGGGCTCTCGGGCCAGGATTAGGCAAAGAAGAGGTGGAATTTGGGGACTGGGTTCTGTGGGATCAGGGCAAAAAATTGAGGACCAACTCTGGGGCCAAAGGGCTTGACTTTGGGGGATCCACAGAGACATAAATGAGTTGCTTTAACACGGGCAATTGAGAGTCAGGTCTGGATGAACGTACCTCTGATCACCAAAAGAAATTGCCAATCAAACCAGCTTTTGAGCTTCTCCGAATCGAAGGTGGCACCCGTGTCCAGTCTGACTGCTGCTTCTGATGAGAGACCTCCTTTTGCAACTGGACTTCTTGGGGTTGCCAATGCCTGTTACCAAGAACAGTTGCAGAAATGAAATAGTGACCATTCCATGAATCAAAGCGAACAGCAAGATCCTCATTCTACGGTGAAGCCAACAGTAGCTACCCCGTAAGAGAGCGAAGGAACAGGTGTTTGCTGGAACGCTAACAACACTCAGAATGCATCCCCCGGATCGGTACAGCGGTTTGGCAGCAAATGGAGCAACTATTAATAGTTTTACTGTACCGGTATTCGCATAAGGTTTTCGCATACTGGAAACGAACTGCTTGTGACAGACAAAGGCAACCAAAAGTGTCTTGACACCCGAACCAGTGGATAACAATAATAGTAAGAAAAAGTAGGCGGATGATGTTCTCATTTGATCTGTTGCCAGTGTGTTCGCTTTACCAGTAAATCATCATGACTCTGCCCTGCATTGGCCTCGCCTCGTCTACTATCAATTCTCTTCACGCCAGCTTCTCTCTTTTGTGGAAGAGTGAGAATGGAGTGAAGTCGATTGTAGTGTCAGTCGTCAAGCCCTACCGAAAAGTCTTCCAAGCGAGGGCAAAGATGGCAAGAAGCTCTTCAGAGAGGACTTGCATTCATGTACATGTAGCGGGAAGAGAGAATCGTTTGCTTGCACGGTATGCATCGAGAGTATTGGACAAGAACCGGCTGTCTCCGGTCCTGACATGTACTGGATGTATCTGCAACCTGCAAGAACAAACTGATACTCTGAGTGGCTCTTATCCTTACCGGTACGGGTGTACCTGGCACCACTGATAATGACATACAGTGGCTCATACTAGTACAGTAACGTAGCACCGTACTACCGTAGCAGAGACATCGTGGACATCTGATTCGATTCGATTCTGTCGTGGGTCACTGACTTTAAAAATGCCTTGGATCACCGGTAATTTTAACAGGCATGAAGCCAGTGAGAAGATTATTATCCCACGACCGAGATCGGATATTTTTAATACAGTGTACGAGTACTGCAAGGTCCTGAAATGGGACTAGTTTCACCCTTTTGGGTTACGACTGTAGTTTCACGCTTTTTGTTAGTTTCGCCGAAAATGGACCACCCTTTCCTTGAAACTAACCCAAAAGCATGAAACTAACCCAAAAGCGTGAAACTAACCAAAAAGCGTGAAACTAGTACAGTATCTGTCATAGTAAATCAATGTAAACATGACTAAAAGCGTGAAACTAACTCAAAAGCGTGAAACTAACCCAAAAGCGTGAAACTGACCAAAAAAGCGTGAAACTAACCAAAAAGCGTGAAACTAACCAAAAAAGCGTGAAACTAACCAAAAAGGGGAAACTATCAAAAAGCGTGAAACTAACCCAAAAGCGTGAAACTAACAAAAAGGGTGAAACTATTGTTTGAGTCCCGTTTCAGGATCTTGCTGATGTACTGGTATTAACGCAACGTATTTATTTTAATTTAAAATACCGCATAAAGGGGTACACATTAACAATTAAAGACTTATATGTAGATGCGGCGCGGGGTTCTTTGCCAAGTTGAAGTTTCGGAAGCGTTTCTTTCTTTTTCTTTTTGGTTTATTAGAACAAAGATCCAAAGATCCACCTCGCGAGCTCTATGCATATGAGCAGCATATGCATACGCGCGAGTTTCAATCTCAATATCTCAATCCACCCCAATTGAGTATGATAAAGGTCCTGCATTCTCGTCCACGCTAGCACTAGTCTATGGCTGGCATTGCTGTTGGTGCATTATCTATCTGGTGAGTCGAGAAGTGATGTCAATATATATATTATGATCAGGCACACCATGCCGCACCTGCCCATCCATCCATCCATCATCCGCCGCAGAGCTCTCTCTCGCAAGTTACTGGTTTTATTCTTTAGAAGTTAGAAGTTGTTCACTGGTAAGTAGAAGACAGGAGAGCGGAGAAGGCCGAAACCACAAAGAACATAATGATCCATGAACCTTGCATACCGGTAATCAGTAGACACTTCACACCTTCTCTCCGAAAGTTGCCTACCAGAGCTATACTGTACCAAACATCCACACATCCTCAGGCACAAACCCGGCCATGGGCCGTGGGCCATTGCTAGATCGTGTGATGCGTGTTGCAGGCTTCCAACTTCTGCATACATCTTTCATCTATGACATACATGAATCATATATTTTCTCTCTTTGGTCCGCTTTACTCATTCCTTCGACTTGTTTCTCACCTGTTTCACAACAAAAGAACTCGAATCGAATCTTAGGTTTGAACAAACTTCGATCGATAAAGCTTTGCGCTTCTTGAAACTTATCTTGCTGGAAGGAATTAGGGTACACGTACGGTACAGCGGCAATGCACGATGACTGTCGAACCAAAAGCGAACTTCAATTCTATTGAATACAGGTCACAATTCTAAAAGTACGTTTCGGTGGTACCACAACATGTATCCGTAAATGTTTTAATAAAAAATAGTGCTCCAGTATCCAGTATCTTTGGCGGGCCTCCAGCTTTGTCCGGGGACCGGAGCACTCCGCTTGACTTTGACATTTTCATAGTGTGAAATTTGCTTCATAAGTGTGAAATTGAAAGGAAAAGGGGCCAACTAGTTTAAAATTTCAAATTTTGTTGACATTGCATGGTGATTTTTCACAAATTCGTGAAATTAGTTTTACACTCTGCAAATCTAAAACTGTTTTCACGCAAACGTGAAACTAAAAATACTGCAGTTTCACGACGCGGGTTTCCGGACGTTCAACCTCCAGGCTCCAAGAGGCACATCAGGGAAGCGAGGGGCACAAAACCAAACCGACTGAGTGAAAATAGTTCAAACCATCAGAACAAACCGCTACACCTTTGAAAATGAAAGTGGAGAAAGACGCAATGAAGTTCCTTGACGAGTACAGCCATGACGACGCCGACTCCTCGAATTCCCAAGGTGAATCCAATACCAACACGGAGGCTAGCCTGAGTGCTCGCGATGAAGTGAAGGAAGTCAGGAGGCAGTCCAAAAGGGAAACGTCTCGAGTGAGAGTTTGGAGGATTGCTGTCTCTGCTGCGCTCCTCATCACGGCCATCTCGGTGACTTTCACCACCTATTGGCTACTCGTGGAAGAGGAAGACAAAAACTTTCGCAATGTTGTAAGTGGGTGGGATTCCATTCAGTGGCTGACTGTTGCATTTGCTACTGCCTTTTGACTGATGACTGCTCTGCTCTCGCAAACCTCGTTGTCGCCCCAGTTCTCCCAGTTTGCGCGCACTGTGGGAGATGCCGCCATTGACCAGCAGAAGGACGTCAGGTCCGCCATTCGAAGTTTGTCAGACTCGATCACCCTGTCCGCCGACTTGGTCAGCAATGGCAACCCCACCTGGCCGTACTTCTTCCCGCCCATGTTCGAGGCATATGCCCACGACTACATGGAAATCAGCAAGGCCGAGTTTGTTGGCATAAGCAACATCGTTTCTCATGACCAGAGGGAGAGATACATCAACTACAGCACCTCTGTCTATGAGCAGGCTGTCAAAGATGCACACATCATCAAGCATGGTAGCTTGGACCTCCTCAACAACGACACGGCCAAGTACAATCCTTACGTCACGAAGAAGACCTCGGATGGTTTTGTAGAGGATGATGAAAGAGACTTGTACTTTGTGCGGACGATTCAATCGCCTCCTCCCAGAAAGTACGGTCCTCAGATCAACTGGAACCTGGCGAGTGATCCGAGTATCCGCGTAAGTATGGATTCCATCATGGAGCTTCGGAATGAAACCACCATCAGCAAGATTCGCCCCTTTGTAGGTCTCCCTGCAGATGAGCACAAAGGCTTTCACTCAGATGACAACGCGGACAATCCCCACTGGTAAGTGCCTCGAGAAGGTTTCGCCTGCTTCGTTCCACGGAACGACAAGCCTCATGCTCCTCCTGTCGCTGTCAGCTTTGCATTCCACCCAGTCTACAAGTACGTTGGAGATACGTCATCTGATATCGTTGCAATCATGTCAAGCGCCATTGCCTTCGATGCCTCCATGCGCAATCTCCTGCCAAGCAATGTCAAAGGTATGCTATGTGAAGTCACCAATAACTGCGACCAGATTTTGTCGTATTTGATCGATGGAAAGGTAAGCAAGGGTATGTTGTTGAAGTTGCCCCCTCTTTTCCTGTACCATGGCTGACAGCATCTGCGACGAACGTGTTGGTTGATTGCAGGAAGCGTACTTTCAAGGGACGGAGGCCCTCCACGACAAAAAGTACGATGATCTGTCACTTGAAGTGGACTTATCTCTGTACACAAACCCCAATCTCCCTTCCACACCGGGGCATTGCATGTACAAGATGGTGAGTAGCATCGAATTGATGCACGTGTTGGCCAGAGACATCATATTAGCTCACAGTTTACATGTAGAGAATCTACCCTACAGAGGCATTCGAATCTGATTACAAGACAAATACCCCGCTTGGTACGTTGGTTTGGTATTCCTATCAGAGGCTATCAAGTACATAGCGAGCACTCTCATACCTCGTTTCCAAACGAACTTTCAGTCTTTGCCGCAGTAGTGGCGGCAACCTTCTTGCTGGTGATTGTTGTGTACTACGTGTACGACCTCCAGGTCCAACGAAGAAACGAGCTCATGATTGAGAATGCTGCGAAGGCAAACTCCCTCGTCACCAATATCATCCCCGATCACCTGCGCGATCGACTGCTTAGCCGACAGGAGAAAGCGATTCATGGTTCTAGTCCTTTTCGGAAGAGTGCTAACCTGAAGACGTTCCTTAACGAAGGGAATGGCATCGATGACTGCAACACTGATGCGCCGCTGGCCGACCTCTTCGTCGACTGCACGGTGCTATTCGCTGACATTACAGGTAGGTACAAGAAAATGGCGTCCCTTGCATACCTCCGTTGGACCCCTCCCTCCTCCTAACAAGCAATGTCCGGAAATTCCCAGGTTTTACGGCTTGGTCTTCTGTGCGGGAGCCAAGTCAAGTTTTCATTCTGCTGGAGACTTTGTACAGCAGATTTGACAAGATTGCCCAGCGCAGAAGAATCTTCAAGGTGGAAACGGTAAGCCTTTCGGAAGAGCTTGGAGAAAAGGACGAAGGACATCCAAATTACTCACGCTCAGCTTTGTGCAGGTGGGTGATTGCTACGTTGGTAAGTTGCAAACTACTCGGATTGCCCCTTATTCACAACTTGAACAGCTTAATGGGTTTCTGACCTTGCCCATGCATGCAAAGCCGTATGCGGTCTGCCTGATCCTAGGCACGATCATTCGGTTGCCATGTGTCGCTTCGGTAGAGACATTATGAGCAAGATGAGAGTTCTTACTAAAGAGTTGGAAGTTCGCCTAGGTGAGTTGTTCGGCAAGGGTCAATGCAAGGTTTTGTGTCGGCTTGCAAGATACCATGTTGATTACTTACACCGAGCCAAAATCCACCAATCAAGGACCCGACACAGGAGAATTGGTGAGCTTATTTTGCACAAAGAGTTGGACAGACTGATCTGTTGATCTCATCAAACCTTGCCAAACTCTGTAGGCGCTGCGAATTGGCATGCATAGCGGTAGGTTCGATACATCCAAGTGATGGTGGTTTTCCAAGAAGGCAGTGTGCTCAAACGAACCTTTTGCCATATCCTCGATGTCTCAGGCCCAGTCATTGCCGGTGTGTTGCGCGGAGAAAGGAGTCGGTTCCAATTGTAAGTTTTCCTTGATATTGCTCATGTTCTGAAGCACCTGTCGAGTCTTTCTCACGGCTGTTACGTCTCATCGTACGTGTCCCAGGTTTGGTGACACAATGAATCTGACCAGTCGTTTAGAGGGTTCGAGCAAGCCAAACCAAATGCAATGCTCCAAGGAGACAGCTGAGCATCTCATCAAGTTAGGCAAGGGCGGCTGGGTCCAAAAGCGACTCGATCCCATTGCCATCAAAGGGAAGGGATCCTATCATGCCTACTGGGTGAACGTCCACGGCGACCGGGCTGGCAGTGCCATGAGTGCTCTGTCTGGCAATTCAAACCAATTTGACCTTCCCACATTGAGTGCTCAGCTGTACGGTAGTCCCTTCGAAGGCGTCGACGACCGTACATTGCGCCTCATTGACTGGAATGTTGAGACACTGCTTAGAAGCATGAAGGAAATCGGAGCGCGACGTTCGGTGGCAATGGCACCACAGGGTACACCAGAACCCGGAGTGCTGACAACTGGAGAGATACCCTTGAATGAAGTTTGCGAGATCATTCCTTTGCCAGAGTTCGATGCGAAGGCGTCTCGTCTCCAGATAGACCCTGACCTAGTGGAGATTCCCGTCGAGGTGGTGGAACAACTTCATCACTTGGTCAGCTCGATTGCCAAAATGTACCATTCGAACCCATTTCACAGTAAGATCCTGTTCACCAGACGCCTGTGCTGAATCGACGGACCACGGACCACTCATCGTTGCCCTCTCGCATCGGCTTGAAAAGACTTTGATCATGCGTCTCACGTCGTAATGAGTGGTGAGCATGTTTTGGTCGATCCCAATTTCTTCGATCTCTCAAAGTGTTGGCTGACCCTTTGCGTTCCACCTTCTCGTCCCCGCCCACCGCAGTGACCAAGCTTCTGTCTCGTATCGTAGCTCCAACACAACTCGAGGGCTTGCAAGAGCAAAGCCACACGGATGCTGCTGAGAAACTCCATGACCATACTTATGGTCTGACTTCCGACCCAATGACATTCTTTGCCTGCGCATTTGCTGCCTTGATCCATGACGTTGGTAAGCAGATTGCTTTGCTGGGAGCTACGGCTTTTTAAAAAAGAAGAGCTTCTTTAGACTCATCCATCCCGTTTTCACTTCCTTCTCTTCCTTAGACCATGCCGGAGTCAGCAACGCCCAGCTGGTCAAGGAGGGCGCACCAATTGCCGAAAAGTACAAGCGAAGTGTAGCGGAACAGGTATGTCCCCACGTGAATGAATGGGTCGTGTCCAATCCAAGCTTCATCCCACCACTCAACCATCCTTGTCCACTTTCCTGACAATGTAGAACTCCTTGACGTTGTCCTGGGAACTCTTGATGGATCCAGGATACAAAGCTCTCCGAGATTATCTGTTTCCCACCAACTACGACCTTCTTCATTTTCGACAATTGCTCGTGAACGTAAGGTCTCAAATTGATTCTGTGTGAATGATTCCCGCACCGCAACTGTCATCGTGCTTAAACACAATCCTTTCGCTCGTTGTCACAGACGGTAATGTCTACGGACATTGTCGATATTGAACTGAAGAAGTTGCGAAATGCTCGATGGGACAAAGCCTTCAAGAAGGGTAATGGCGAGAATTCGGGTAGCAGCACGAGTACCATCGTCAATTATGCTGATGACGATGGCGCCAAAGTCTCCAAGAAAGATGAAATCCACCGAAAGGCCACCATTGTCGTAAGTTCACCTTTTTGGGGGGCCACCTCTTTCTCTTTGGAGCCACACCCTTCTCCAGAGGATCTCACCTGCAGCATTGTTCCTTTTGCAACCAAACCAAATCAAATCACAGCTGGAACACATTATTCAGGCCTCTGACATCAGGTAAGAAAAACTAACTCACGAGTGTTGCCCACTCTCGCTGAATAATCAAAAGTCTTATGCCTGTTGCGACGTTTGATCTTCTACTACAGCCACACCATGCAACATTGGCATGTCTACCGACGATGGAATCAGGTAAGAGTCTTCTTGTATCTTCCAGTATGCACAGTCTCTTGCAACTTTTCGCCTTGCTCACGGTCGGTTTCCTCTGCACCCAATCCAATGAATGGAATTAGAACTTCTTTGAAGAGCTTTACGTAGCTTACTTGAACGGACGCATGGAGCAGGACCCTGGCGCCTTTTGGTATAAGGGCGAATTTGGTGAGTTCTTGCCCTCATCATGGCTGGCATCCACTACTTCGTTCATGTGCCCTCACCAAGGAATTGTGTTTCTCCATCTCTATTCCATTTTCAAAGGGTTCTTTGACTTCTATATTATACCTCTAACGAAGAAGCTTAAGGACTGCGGTGTCTTTGGTGTGTCTTCCGATGAGTACTTGAACTATGCTCTCAGAAACCGCGAAGAATGGGAACTGTGCGGGGAACAAGTAGTGGCCGAGATGGTAGCTCACTGCCGCAAAGAGTACGGCGTGAAAGCACCCGACGGATCCATCGTATCGGAAGAGGAAGCTGCAGCCTTGTATGCCAGTATGCCACTGGAGGATGCTCATGAGAGCATTGCGAGCATTGAGGTTTGAAACGAGAGGGATTAATCGGGTGCGTGGGAAGGGTGCGACAATGAATAGATTGCATTCGGGATCAGGATGCCTCAAAGGAAGTCGCCTTGGTAGAGCTCATGGCAGGAGTCGAGTCTTCGCTGGTTCCTTGACAAGCAAGTCAAAGATGCACATTATTAGGTAATTTAGTACATCGTTCTCCGTTGCTTCGAAGGTGGCCCAGCATACCGGGTATCGACACCAGTACTAGTATTCTTTTTGTAAAGAATGTGGGTTACTACATGTATGTGGTTAGAGGGGACTATGTGGGAGGGTGCAGCAATGCAGGGACTCGAGCCTAACAGTCAAGAGTGAGCATTGGACCAACCGGAGGAAAAGATTGCAAGGAAGGAGGCCGGGAATAAAGGGGGGAGAGGACAGAGACAATCCATCGCACCGCCATTGTCCAATGGCCGGGAGCTCGTTGTACCGTAGAAGGAGGAACACCAGAACAGAGGCACATGGTGGTAGCGGCTTGAGCAATGGCCATGGTCGGTGGGGTGTGGGGTGTGGAAGGCAAGGTCCAGAATTGTTCTGATTTCAGTCGTGCATAAATGGATAGTTTTACAGAAATGAGATTCATATGCCTCCTGGCTCGTCTCCGTTTCCATAAATCTTTTATTACCAACACCTAACTCGCTTTATTGAAACAGTACAATAAAACAGTATTCGCGCGCTCCGCGCGCTCATCCCTTTCTCTGCTTCGCCCCGATCCCTCATTCATGCGAAAAATGTGAAGAACGCAAGGCGACTTTCATGTGCATGTACATGCGTTGACTGTATCCCGTCAATACAATACTAGTCGAATACTTAGACTTCTACAGAGGCCTCTAAGTAATGCACGCGGGGTATAATTCAAACCTCCACTCCCCATCGGTACCCTTACCCCTAAAAGCAAATCGTCTCCGGGAGACGAAATTTCCGTAAATCACGGAAATCAGTTAGACTAGCTAGGGAAATTTTGGTACAGGCAGCTTCGGTTTTAAAGATTCAAACGCGTGCCAGGTTTTCTCGTACACTTCTACGAGAGCTCGAGTAGATGTGTACCATGGAGGTCGGCACGCGTTTGCATCAATAAAATCGAAGCTGCTCGTACCAGGTAGTCTAGCTGGGTTACTGAAACGTTTCCGTAGAACTGTAGTTTTACGGAAATTTTACGTAAAACTGTTAGTTCGACGGTTTTAGTCGTGTTTACATTAGAGTACTATAGACGTTTCAGTAATAGTTTTACGATTTTCAGTTTTATGGTTTTTATTTCTACGAAAAATTTCGGTAGAACTACTAGTTTTACGGAAATTTCCGTAGTTTACGGAAATCTCAAAACCGTAAATTACGGAAATCCACAACGAGTCGAGTCGTGTTTCGTAGACCAATTCCGCACCTTGCCACGGTGCGGCTCCTACTACTGGTACCGGTAGTACCGGTACCTGTACAGTCGTACCTTAGCCTTAGCCTTCAGTTTGAGACTTAGTTAGTTAGGGTTGAGACTACTGTACTCCAACTCTGCCGCAGAACTTGATCGCGGGAGCATTGATCGAACAGATCTTTGTTGCACGAGATCCATGCAGACGAGGCAGAAAGCCAATGACCAACCTTTTTGGCACAACCCACCTGTTATTGTTGCTGACTAATATCACTCATTCTCAATTTGCAGGCGAAGTGCCCCGTATACCATACTTGTTGAGTGGCTACTGTAACCAGCTAACGAATAAAGAAGTAACAATGTCTGAAGAGAAGAAGGACGCCTTGAAGCCCGTAGTGGTTTGTGGGCCATCTGGAGTTGGTACGTTCGTGGTTATTAGTCTGCTTGTTTAGTGCCATGGGTGGGTCCTTTATTCAAATTTTGTCTGTCTTTGCTGTACTGACCAATTCCTTAAAAAACTTAATACTTGTCATTTTCCTTTTAACAGGCAAGGGTACTCTTATTGATATGCTCATGAAGAGGTTTCCCAATGAGCAGCTTGGATTTTCGGTTTCGCATACCACACGTCCTCCCCGTGAAGGGGAAGTCGACGGGAAGCATTACAACTTTACCACGGTGGAACAGATCAAGAAGGATATTGATGCTGGGAAATTCATCGAATATGCGGTGAGTACATGATTCGATTCTACCCTGTCCTTCCACACACGAGCTTAATCAATTTTGAGTTTTGACAACTCACCCCTACTGATTTTATTTGATTCATTCAACTACATGATATTCACAGGAGGTCCACGGCAAATACTACGGCACTAGGTATGTCGATTTATTGACTTTAGGGGTCTGATCACAACGCTCGCTCCATTCAGGTTGCTGATCTTTTGATTCCGCTTTTGCCCCTCAACGAATCAATCAATCAACAATCATAAATCAGTATCGAGGCTGTGGAATCTGTCCAGAAGGATGGCAAAATCTGCATCTTAGATATTGATGTACAGGGAGCTGAAAAGGTTAAAAAGAGCAGTCTCGAGGTGCGTCTATCACATGAATTGCCATGGCCAGCAAGTTTGGCCCTGTTCCGTACCAACTGACCATACCTTGATAATAAAATGCCCTTCCATTGACGAATGCAACTCGACAAACAAACACACAGCCCATTTACATTTTCATTGCCCCTCCTTCTCAAGAAGAACTCGAAAAGAGATTGCGAGGACGTGGTACTGAAACGGAAGAAGCCATCAAGACTCGTCTGGGAAATGCTGCCAAAGAACTGGAATACGGACGAAATGCGGGCAATTTTGATCGCATCTTTGTCAATGCCGATTTGAAAGCTACCTTTGAAGACATTGCATCGGCCTTTAAGGAATGGTACCCCCATTTGAACGAAGTGGCTCCCGATGACGAGGAGAAAAATTGTGCGTGTGTCATTTCCTAGTGTGTAGAGAGCCAGTGCGTTTTTGCAACCATCTGAAGTACACATCATGAACAGAAAGGACTCAACCAAAGTTCTCTTTTTCCATTCTACTAGAACCAAATGACTATTTACTGCCATTTCAATCAATCTACTTGCCAGCACTAAAAAGGGAAGAGACGACAACCTTGGACCATGACCGTAGAAGCTATCGTAGACGCGAATCTCTGGCTAAGAACTTAGTTTGCTTGCTGCTTGATTAGGCGTTAGTCTACTGTCTTGCTCTCCTCTATTTTTATTGGGCATTTGAATGTAGTCCATTGAAAGGCATCGCCTAGCATAGCTTGTATACCCTCTCTCGTCTCGTCAGACGAATTCTCCCTGCGTTCCAGTTCGAATTCCTGAAAGCAGGCAGCATAGGCGCATTGTTGAAATCCTAGCTTCTTTTGAAAGAGGGATAAGGAAGGTTGATTGTTTTCTTTGATTTTGCAAAAGAATCTACGTATAGTTTTGGCCTTGGTCCCGTACAGCATCATGAGACAGCTTGCTTCTTTCCCCAGCCCCTGACCTCTGCAATCTTCCTCTGCAATCATAATATCTAGTTCAGCCTGTAATTGTTGGGTTGGTTTCTCTTTTGGGGGTGATATTGTATCTTCAACCTCCTCCTCCTCGTCTTCTTCTTCTGAAAAGAAGAGATTCACATCGCCCACCATTGCCTCTAGGTTTCGTTGGGGAAAATTAGCATCTTCCAGGGTCAAGTCGCCGGAGTCCAGAAAGTTACATTTCTCCCTGGCCAGGACAATAAAGGTACACTTTTGGTCATCGTCTCGCCAAGATATTTGCATGTCAATTTCTTCCTGAAGTGACAAAGGCTCGGAGCCCGTCATTTCTAGCAAATAGGGATGCTTCATCCACTGAACGAATGATTGAATCGAATCAGACGAAGTATACAGTAGCAAAGAGTAAAAGGCAAAGCCAAGGTGTCAGATTTCATTGCATGTGGGGATGACTCGACTCTGAATTCCCTTCTTCCTTCGATTTCTCACCTCATGATACCTCTCCACGTGACAAGGACGATAGGGCACAAGCACACACTTGGATCCAACAATACAAGTTTCATAGTTCAGTCTCATGGTGTCATGTTGAATGTTGTGGGCGGTGTGGGGAAGTTGAGGGAGGTCATGCAGTCACGAATGGCTTTCAAGGTGAATCGAATCACGGAAGCTCACGTACCGTACGGCCGGTAACGGATCCACGTTCCAGGGACCAGGTAGAAAGGCTATCTGGTTCGATACAGTTCTCTTGGTGGCAGTTCCCTTAATAATTGAGGGGGGTGTTTTAATAGCAAATGCAGGACCTCTGTGGAAACGGTCATTCGTTGCAATTTACTTAAGAGATGATTTAAGAGGGGTACCAGTTCAGTCCAGGTTGTCTGCATACCTGCATCTCAATATCCTCCAAGTCTGTAATACAAAAGAGTGAACACAATGGTTTGTAACATATAACTTATAATCATGTAAGTGGGGGGATGTATCTCAGGCACCCAGGCCATGTTGGTAGCATGGAGCTGGAACCAATGGTTGTAAGGTTGGAGTAGTGATGCTAATAGACTTCAAACTTGGTACAGATCATGGTTCACACTGTTTTCAATGCCAGGATGCCTGTGTACATTCTCTGGAGATCATATGTGGATTCTGCTGCAAGTAGTTGTCTGCTAGATGTGCTCCTTTTCCTTTTACATTCCAGCACTGGTGGAGTGTGTTGTTGGTGAAGGCATTTCCCCAACACAACACCAGTGCTTACCCCCCCCCATGATCATTCGCAGGAAATCCTTGTTCATCGGTGCCTTGATGACAACATCGAATTCCAAGGACTGTGTTCTTTCACGGAGTGAACCGGAGATTGCGGTAGTGGTACCGCACCTGCACCGCGTTTCTCACTATTTTCGACTTCCGAAGAAGTGTCATCCATAGTGAGCGCAGGGAGCAGTCGCCCCGCCTCGACTGCTGAAAAGCAGTTCCGGCGGACGGGGCTGGTAATAAATTTGTCGCCCATGTGGGAGTGCTTGTGTGAAACACGCAAGATCCCAACGGTAAGGTTCGGTCCCTTCGCTGATGGGAATGGACCGTTTCGACTCTCATCGCGTGTAGCGGTGGCTGCTGGGCTTGGCCCAGCGATAGGCGGTAGCGTGGAATCACGTAGGAAAGCTACCAGAATGTAGCTGTGGCAAGGCCGGTTGGTGTTAGAGTTGCGATCGGTGACTTGGATCACAATTCTTCCAGAAACAGAGGAGGAACGAATATTCCCCTTTATCGAAAGGTGTACCCCCGAGCGAAACATCACCATGAGTAAGTGGCAACAAGGGTCTGCCGTTTAATTCGATGGTGTCTCACTAGGGTAGATTCCTTTGTTTCTTCTGACAGACAACAACACCGGAAATGCCAATCCTGTGGTCATGATGGGCCGCGCCGCCCAGTCTCGGACCTTCTTCAACGCCGACGGAACCTTGAACGGGATCGGACGTGCCATGGTGGACCACTTCAACGCAAACTCTCGTACCCTGGCATTGGCTGAGTCGAATCGTCGTCGGGCTCGATTCTTCTTTCGTCGTGAAGCTCGACGCATCCGCGCTCAAGTGTCTCGCGAGGCAATCGCTCGCTACAACACGGCGATGCGTAGCTCCACCGCCAATTCCGACACCGAGTGGCAGTCCGCCAACGAGTGGCGAGAGCAGGAGATTGCTGAACGATTGGGTCCCATCCGCACCCAAGCCACGGCAATCCGCCGTGCCGCCATTCCTCCTTTGGCGCCCCCGGCCAACGCGGCTGGGCAGAACGGCAATGGCAACGCCAATGCCAACAACGGCAATGGCAATGGCAACGCCAACGCCAACAACAACAACGGAGCTCCTTGAAGAGAGACCGTCTTGGTATGGTCCGCTGCAGGTTTATTGTTCCTGCGCGCGGTTGGGCGAGATGCGACGAAAACCGCTTGGCTTCTTATAGATGAGCTGAGTAGTGGTGGAAGATCCTTGAGGATCGAGATCGATATCCCAATATTCTGAAGTGGGTGTTCTCCGGCCTCTGATGGTTCCAATCCGTCCCCGATATCTATCTCTTCGGGTAATCTTTACTCTAGTGCCACTTGGCCATTCTGGTTCCGGCTCTTCCTCATCGTCGTTGTCTTCTAGATCCAGAGCCGTGAGTTCATTGACGATTCGCTGTAGCTCAGCTTGTAGGAGCCTCCTTCTCTGTTGTCTAGTCCGATCCATCTTGATGTTGATTTGTGGATCTCGACCAGTTGATGTTGTCTTGGATCCCCAGAGGTGGCTTTAGAGCCGCACTCGTGACTAGGATGTCGTTTCCCGCCGAGCGCCAGGCGACCCCACAACCGTCACATTTTACAATGCCATGGAGAAGCGCAATGCAGTAGGCGCGATGAGGTCCAACCGCGCATAGAGTTCTGGC